TTTTCTGTTGCCCCAGAAGGTCAGACCAGAACCAACAGGTTGAAACTAACTCAGAAGAGTTTTTGGCTGAACATTAGGAAGAACTTCCTGACTGTTCGAGCGGCTCCTCAGTGGAACAGGCTTCCCCGGGAGGCGGTGGGCTCTCCTCCTCTGGAGGTTTTCAGACAGAGGCTAGATGGCCCCCTCTGACAGCCATGCGGGTTCCGTGAACTTTGGCAGATCACGAGAAGGGAGGGCAGGGAGGGTTGCACAGGGTTTAGTTCTTGCGGCCTGTCCTTACACGCCCGGGGAAATGCCGATCGCCACTTTGGGGCGAGGAAGCCATTTTTTTTCCAGGCTGGTTTGGCCGGGGATCCTGGAGGATTTTTGTCATCTCCTGGGCGTTGGACAGCGGTCACTGTGGGTTTAGAGGGGGAGGTACTTGTGAATGTCCCGCATTATGCAGGGGGTTGGACTAGATGACCCTGGAGGCCCCTTCCAACGCTATGATTCTATGATTCTACGTCAGCTTCACCCTGATGCCGGACCAGAGGTGAATCGAGCCCCTGGAGGCCTTTGCCGTAACCTGAATGTCGGGCATGTTTCCAGGTAACTGGGAGCCTTTTCAGAGGGCCTCCAGAGTGTGTGAGACACCCAGAAACCATTTCACAAAGGGGGGGAGGGAACGGAGAGGCCCGACAAGGTTTCTGTCCGGGAGGAGCGGCGCACTCTGGATCTCGTCCAAGCCCCGCAAGCGTCTGTTTGGCAGCGGTGCCCCTGATAAGTGCTCCAGAGGTGCTGCCGGTCCCGGGGCTGATAAGCTCTATCTTGGCCTCAAGGCCAGGGCTGGGCCTGCGGCGTGGGGAGGGGGGAGGGGGGAACATCGTGTTCCTGAGCTCTGGCACGACGCCCTGAACGGAAAAAGTCTGCCTGCCCAGAAGCCTTCTTTGCTCTCTGGTCACCTGGCTGGCCTGAGAGCCAGTTTGGTGTGGTGGTGAAGTGTGCGGACTCTAATCTGGGAAGACAGGGTTTGACTCCCCACTCCTCCACTCGCAGCTACTGGATGGCCTTGGGCAAGCCGTAGTTCTGACACAGCTGTCCTTGAAAAAGAGCAGTTCCTGTCAAGAGCTCTCTCGGCCCCACCTGCACCTCACAGGGTGTCTGTTGTGGGGAGGGGAAGGGAAAGGAGTCTGTAAGCCGCTCTGAGACTCCTTCGGGTAGGGAAGGGCCATGGGGTAGAAACCCAATCTCCTTCTCCTCTTCTTCTTCTCTTCTGCTTTTCACAAGGGGAGACTAGGACAGTGCAAGTAAGGGGGTTGCCAAGTCTGGCCTAGAAAATTCCTGGAGATCTGGGGGTGGTGCTTGCGGAGGGGAGTCTGGAAAGGATCCCGCTTGGACTCTATGTGGTATAATGCCACGGAGCTCTCCCTGTGGAGCTGCCCTTTCCTCCAGGGCAACTGATCTCTGTAGTCTGGAGATCAGCGCTTGTTCCGGGAGAACTCCAGGCCCCATCTGGAGTCTGGCAACACTACGCACAGGGTGCCCTGTGACACTAAGGAGGAGACATTCTTGTGCCCCCCTCCCTCCAGTAGGCAACACACACACACACACATAGCTTTTCTGAGTTGGAGGGCCAGCCACTGGTTGTGCGCCAGCCACTGGAACATAGAAAATGGCGGCCCAAACAAACGCAGGCAAAACTCAAGGATGCCTTAAGGATATAAGAACATAACAAAAGCCAATGCTGGATCAGGCCAATGGCCCCTCCAGTCCAACACTCTGTGTCACACAGTGGCCAGAAATACCAGGGGCCCTCAGGAGGTCCAGCAGTGGGGCCAGGAGGACACCAGAAGCCCTCCCACTGTTGCCCTCCCCCCCAGGCACCCAGAATGCAGTGCATCCTTTGCCCCAGACTGAGAGTTCCTACCTATACATTGTGACTAATAGCCACTGATGGACCTCTGCTCCAGATGTTCATCCAATTCCCTCTTATAAGAACATCAGAGAAGCCAAATGTTGGATCAGGCCAAAGGCCCATCTAGTCCAACCCTCTGTGTCACACAGTGGCCAGAAATACCAGGTGCCCTCAGGAGGTCCAGCAGTGGGCCCAGGACACTAGAAGCCCTCCCACTGTTGCCCCCCCCCAAGCACCAAGGAGACAGAGCATCACTTGCCCCAGAGTCCCTATCTATACTTTGTGGTTAATAGCCACTGATGGACCTCTGCTCCATATGCTTATCTAATTCCCTTTTGAAGCCGTCCATGCTTGTAGCCGCCACCACTTCCTGTGGCAGTGAATTCCATGTGTTAATCACTCTTTGGGTGAAGAAGGACTTCCTTCTGTCCGTTCTAACCTGACTGCTCAGCAATTTCATGGAGTGCCCACAAGTTCTCATATTGTGAGAAAGGGAGAAAAGTACCTCTTTCTCTACCTGCTCTTTCCCATGCATAATCTTGTAAACCTCAATCATGTCACCCCTCAGCCGTCGTTTCTCCAAGCTAAAGAGCCCCAAGCGCTTTAATCTTTCCTCATAGGGAAAGTGTTCCAACCCTTTTATCATTCGAGTTTAGGGTTGCCAAGTTGATTTTCGCCGGGAGCAGGGGGCTCCCGGCCAGCGTCAGTTGCGTGCGTGTGCGCACCGCATGCACATCACCCAGAAGTGACGTGACGACGCCAGGCACGCTGAGGGCAGGGCCAGGGCCATACAAGGGAAAACCATGGAGTTTTCCCTTGGATGGCCGTGGCCCCGCCCCCAGCGTGCCCGGTGTGGCAGCTCGTGTGCGCACCGCATGCACATCACCCAGAAGTGACGTGACGACGCCAGGCACGCTGAGGGCAGGGCCAGGGCCATACAAGGGAAAACCATGGAGTTTTCCCTTGGATGGCCGTGGCCCCGCCCCCAG